TTCAGGCCTTTGTGGCTTTCTTGAGAGTACGTTTCTCCATGAATTCACTTGTAGTATCAATCCCAGTTTGGGAGCATAAAAAAATAATCACAACTCTAGAAGCCCTCCGCATGACCACTTGGGGCTTTGTGGGGAAATCTAGACATAAACCGTAACAGGATTTCTAGGGAACATCCTATGAGAGGTGTGTACTCTAAAGTACACCTACCAGCCAAATCCCATGGCTGGGACGGGTACTGATCAGGCAGAATCATGCACATCCCACCTGAGCGAGCAGTCAAAAAGAGCTCCAATTGGAAAGGCCTTTTGGGGTGTGCATACTTATTGATAGCACAGCTGACAAATCCCACAGGAGGCATGCAGTGGCACGGCAGGTGTGGACTCACTTAGAAAGATTCCTGAATGAGGCCAGGTCTGCAACAGCATGACTCAGTGAGTCCACGAGAGGTGTGTTCTTGGTCAGAGTGTCCCCATTTCATCTTCACCCGGAAACTCTGCTTTCTGCCTAAGGCACTCAGTTGACTTAGCAAGAATATGGGAACACAAAAGGGCCATGTCAGGAAGGGACATGTTGCCCAACGCCCCAGTCTTCCATAGGGAGATACATTCTGAGGAAAACTGTATGCCCACAAATAATCATGGGGGAAGCACACAGTCGGGTGGAAGATGTTCATCAAACACGCTGGAAAGGCTGTCTTTGGGGATAGAGAAAAGTGTAGATTATGGGGAGAGAAGGGAACAAATGAGCTATTGGTGAGGTTCTGAGCCAGTGAATGAACCAATGAATGTAAACACAATAGAGGGAGCTGTCCTAGGCTGCAGATCTGAGGTGTGCCGAGGAGGAGAGTTCACTCGGTGCTCTGCCCATGAAGATCAGAGAGAGAAGGCAAAGCTGCACAGGCCACCGCACAGTAACACCCGCAGAGACAGTGAGAGCTCAGCTGGATGGACACTGCAGGTCAATGAGCCACAGGGAGCACAGCAAGGAGCAAAAGGGTGTGGGAGAGTGTTAGGGGAGACCAGCCCTCTGAGGGCTGCTGGAAACCTGTATCCCAGGGAACTCAGAAGGGCAGAGGCAGGGGTAGGGAGGGTTCTGGGGCCTGTGGAAGTCTCAACTTTGGGTCATGGCTTCACCAGTCAGCTGAGAGTGCCTTGGCTTGATTTACATATAAACCCTGCTTTGGCAATGTGCAGCTCTGCTGGCCATGCCCCTGTCAGTGCTTAGAGGTACAGTTGTGTACCCGAGGCTGTTGGTTGCTACTGCTCCTCATCAAAGCACAGAACCACTCTGGTTACAGGCAATGCTGGCTGCTTCTGGTCAATGCCAGCCAACGCTCTTGGTCACCAATCTCTGTCACCTAATATCTGCCACCTATATTTGTCACTGGTCTTCTTTAGCTGCTGGTCTTGCAGCTTTTCTGGGCTAATAGACACAAGCATTTGTAGCTTTTTTATTTTTTAATTTTATTTTATTTTTATTTTTTGGTATGGGGAATCAAACTCTTGACCTTGCGCTTGCTAGACTGACGCTTGAGCCACTGAGCTATATCCCAGCCCACATTTATAGCTTTTTAAAAGCAAGCCTTGTGTCCACAATTGTTGGGGTAAGAATCCTGAGTGCATTTACAGGACGGCCAGGGCAGGATTTATGTGTAGAAGACCTGTCCTGCAGCACAACAGGTTCAGGGCAGAAAAAGGAGCCCTCCAAATGAACCTCAGAAGTGAGAAGCCAGTGCTACCGAAATAGCCACAGCAGATTTATGATTGGTTCAAATTTGGGCCTCCTGATTGCTTGAAATTGTGGGCTGCGTTTGGGGCAGACTAGATCGAAATGATTGCTGTGAATGTAAGCCTGTCAACTTGTCCAAATTGAGGCTCATTAGTAGCCCAAATTTGGGTTTGTTGATTTTTCCAAACTGGTCCACATTCAATTCTCTGATCTGAGAACACTGACTGGTCCCAATTCAGTTTTACTGCTAAGTTTAATATCAAACCTGATATGTTTAAAGTAGATACCTGCAGGACTGGGGCAGGGAATCACTGGTCATTGCAGCTGTCCTGGTGGCAGTTCCAGGGTACACCACAGGGAGATGCTGCAGCTGGATTGACAGGTGCCATGTCTCTTGAAGAATGACCAGGCCAAAACTGTCCAACATGCAGAAGGGCTAGCTGTGTCCTCAACTTATTGAGGACTGTGTACAACGGGCCTGAGCCCTTCCTGATCCCTTCCACAGAAGAGGCGGTTTCCTGGCCAATACTTCAGAGGTGGCAGCAGCATCTGGGGAGGTGAGAGTGGGAGAGTGGCACTGTGGGTGACAATCGACTGGCACCTCATGTCAGGCTGGCCCAGAGAGCAGCTATGAAGTAACCACAGAGTTGACAGCAGGACATGGAGGCAGGCTGTCTAGGTGCACCCAGGGGGACCAAAGAGGAGCAAAGGGCAACAAGGGAACATAGTAGGACAGCTGTTGGTCATGCCCTTCCCTGAGCATCAGGGGAGAAATGCGTGAGGCAGGGGCTTCTCCTTTCTCTGACGGCTCTAGAGCTGGGCACCTGTATAAGCCCCGGCATGGCTACCCCAGGGAGTCTGGATGGAAGCCTGCTGCGCTCTAGCACCCTGCCGCTGTGTCCTCTGTCCCCGGTATGGGAAAGCCAGGCTGGACATGTGCCTGAGGATGCCCAAGCCCACCGGAGGCGAAGTCTGCAACTCCTGTGCCCCATGTGTACCACCCTGGCCTGAGGTCTCAGCCTCCTTCCCTGAGCTCTGCCTCACTCCTCACTCTCCCTGCCTCGGTTGCTTCTCCTCTCTGTTTGTCTTTGCTGAGCTCAGGCACACCCTGTGCGGGCATCTATGTGACTGCTGCTGCCTGTGTCTGTCTCTCTCTCCCTCTGCCGCCCTCAGTAGCTGGTTCCCCTACTCTGTCCTTGGCCCCCCATTTTGAAACGTGACTGGAATGATCCTCCTGTCTCCCTCTCCACCCTGCTGCCGAACATTTTGTCTCACATCTCTATCACCACAGGCCAGGAATGAGCATCCTGTCACACAGCTCATCCTGCTCTGTGGCGTCCTGGGGAGCAAAGGGAGGAGAAAGGAAAGTATGGGCATTGATTGCATCAGAATCTCCAAATGTATTATCTTCCTTATTCAGCCCAAGGCCACCATGATTCCCAGCTTCATTTTCCACAGCC